GGGAGGACAGGTTTAAATTCAGACTCTGCCACGACCTGGCCCCAGGTCCCCAGAAAAATCACTTCTCTCTCTGAACATCTATCTCCTCCCTTCAAAATTAGGCCAGTAGACTACAGATGCCCTTCAGTTTCTCCATTCAGCATCGTATTTGTTACCTGTTGCTACAGAAGAGAACGCAGCAAACACGGTTGCTGGAAACACAAGTTTCCTCCCTCGGTCCCCGTGGGCCGGAACCTGGGCCCAGTCGAGCTGGGTCCTCTGCTCAGGGTCCCTCAGGCTGTAGTGCAGCTGTTGGTCAGGCTCTTCACCACGTGTGCACGTGCCTGTGTGCCTGTGCATGTGTGTGCTGATGTGTCTTGCTCGCATGCATGTGTGTGCCTATGCACGCATGTGCACACATGTGCGTGCACACATATGTGCGTGTGCCTATGCCTGTGTGAGGGCATGCATGCACACATGCACTGTGGCAGGAAGGTGTGGTGTACATCTCAGGTGGGCAGCTTGCACTGTGACACCTCCAGGCCCCCAACATGACGGTAACCTGCTAGCACAAAGCCTGACTCTCTGAGAACTACGCAAGTCCCTGAAACGCGAGCCACCCACCGCCTCCCCACTCCTGGGAGAGCCTGTAATTTCTGGGACAGTCTGCGGGCAGCCCCTGGCCCCAGCCCCCTTGTTGTGAAACCTCACACCCCAGGGACCCAACATGAGGACACAAAGCACTGGCCAAGGAAGCAGGAAGACTGTGGGAACACTGGAGGGGGTTGACTCCACGTAGGCCTGAAGACTTTATGTGTTTCCACAAATGGCGCCCCAAGGGACAGCAATTTCTGATGTGTAAGCCTTTGGTCTCTAACCTAAAACATCACACCTGCATCTATCACTCAGCCTTACATACTCCGCAGCAGAAAACAGCCCGAGAACTAGACACCCCCAGACACGACAAAACAAGAGCCCCAGAGGCACCAAGGTTCCATCCTCACAGACCCAGGCCGAGGTCTTCACTTTTAAAGCTGCTTGGAGCTTTGATTGAAGTGTTTCCTTCAGTTTAATAAGTCACCTTAAGGCTGTCCTAGACTGGGAATGAGTGCAAGAAGCTAGGTTGGAAAAAAAGATGATAGAGATAGATAGAGATGGACATGGAGATGGAGATGGAAATGGAGATGGAGATGGAGATAAAGATGACAGAGATAGAGACAGCAATAGAGATGGAGACACATATAGAGATAGAGAGAGAGATAGAGATAGAGACAGAGACAGATATAAAGATAGAAATAGAGATAAAGATGATAGAGATAGAGACAAAGAGAGAGATAGAGGTAGAGACAGAGAGAGATATAAAGACAGAGATAGATATAAAGATGACAGAGATACAGACAGAGATAGAGATGGAGATGGAGACAGAGAGATAGAGAGAGATAGAGAGATAGAGACAGAGATAAAGATAAGGATGATAGAGATAGAGACAGAGATATAGAGATAGAGATGATAGATAGAGGTAGAGACAAAGATAGAGAGAGATGTAGGTGTAAGGGTAGGTGTAGATATATTAATATAGGTATAGTGGTAGGTATAGATGTAGGTGTTAGTATGGGTGTAGGTGTCGATGCAGGTGTAGGTACAGGTGTTAAGTGTAGGTGAAGATACAGGTGTAGGTGAGGTGTCAGCATAGGTGACACAGGTGTAGGTATAGATGTAGATGTAGGTGTCTGTATACGTATAGGTATAGATCTAGATAAAGGCATAGCTATAGGTATAGGTGTAGGTCTAGGTGTATGTATAGATATAGGTATAGATGTAGGTGTAGGTGTAGATATATGTATAGATACAGGTGTAGCTATGTGAGTAGGTACAGATGTAGGTGTAGGTGTAGATATATAGATACAGGTGTAGCTATCTGCATAGGTATAGATGTAGGTGTAGGTGTAGATATATGTATAGATATAGGTGTAGCTATGCTGCGATAGGTACTAGATGTAGGTGTAGGTGTAGATATATGTATAGATACAGGTGTAGCTATCTGCATAGGTATAGACGTAGGTGTAGGTATAGATATATGTATAGATACAGGTGTAGCTATCTGCATAGGTATAGATGTAGGTGTAGGTGTAGATATATGTATAGATATAGGTGTAGCTATGTGCATAGGTACAGATGTAGGTGTAGGTGTAGATATATGTATAGATACAGGTGTAGCTATCTGCATAGGTATAGATGTAGGTGTAGGTGTAGATATATGTATAGATATAGGTGTAGCTATGTGCGTAGGTACAGATGTAGGTGTAGGTGTAGATATATAGATACAGGTGTAGCTATCTGCATAGGTACAGATGTAGGTGTAGGTGTAGATATATGTATAGATACAGGTGTAGCCATGTGCATAGGTACAGATGTAGGTGTAGGTGTAGATGTAGGTACAGATACAGACATAGATATAGATACAGGTGTAGGTATAGGTGTAGGCATAGAGGTAGGTATATATATAGACATATAGATATAGATGTAGGTGTAGGTGTATAGATAGATATAGGTGTAGGTACAAGTGTATGTATAGGTGTTGGTGGAGAAGTAGGTATAGCTGCAGATATAGACATATAGACATAGCTGTAGGTATAGGTGTAGGTACAGGTGTAGGTGTTCATGTAGAGGTAGATACAGGTGTAGAGAGAGACATATAGATGCAGCTCTATACACATACAGACACACCTACATATAGTAAGTGGAAAGTGCGGGTTATCACGGGATGATTATTAATGCATTAGAGCAATGCTACCATTTTGTGGGGGAATCTGTTCCTGTGGTCTTAGTCTTTTCAAGAAACACTGGCTTCCAGTAAACAGCACCTGGGACAGGGGAGTCTGCACAGCCAGGGAATTCCCTGTTGTTCATTTTCCGTGTTTCCAGAATGTGGTTAGAACTGGGCACACACCTGGACATTGAAGGATCTCCATGGGCAGCTTGAAGGGATGAAGGCGTGTAGGTCATTGTTTCCAGAACCGTCCAGGGTTCTGATCTACGATTTGTGTGGGATTCAGCAGCAGGCGCTAAACATCTGTGTGTCAGCACGTACAGCCGCCAAGCAGAATTCATCAACCATGTTTCCTGCTTTTATTTCACCTTCATTTGTGATCTCCAAAATATTTTGGTTGGGCGCGGTGGCTCACGCCTGTAATCTCAGCACTTTTGGAGGCCGAGGCGGGTGGATCACCTGAGTGTGAGACCAGCCCGGACAATGTGGTGAAACCCTGTCTCTACTAAAAATGCACACATTAGCCAGGCGTGGTGGCAGGCACCTGTAATCCCAGCTACTTGGGAGGCTGAGGCAGGAGAATTGCTTCGACCTGGGAGGCAGAGGTTGCAGTGAGCTGAGATCGTGCCACTGCACTCCAGCCTGGGCGATAGAGCGAGACTCTGTCTCAAAAAAAAAAAAAAAAAAAAAAAAACCCGCATATTGTACTTTATACAAAATAGGTATTGTATGTCTAAGTGATGCTTACACAGGGAGAAGGCAAGACGGTGACCGGCAGGATCTCTGGAGGGTGGCAGAGGAACCAGAGAGCTCCAAGGAGACGAGGCATTTCCCACCAACGTGCCGAAGTCCTGCTTTTCTAACTGAGGCATAATTTTAAAAGCAAAGGTTCTCAAGAAAAAGGGGAAAAAACAAATTACCATTTTAGGAGCACTTGGTATAGAGTTATCAGGTGAACCCTGTAGACAAAATAATAATAATAAAGTACTTCCAGTTGAAATCCATGCTTCGCTGCATCTCTGGTCTCCCCTCTGTCCACAGCCACTGAGGTTGCACTTGGTTTTCTGGGGCTTTTGTTCCTTTTTTTCCCACTTGTTTACGACCCACCCACCCCCAGCACACACCGCAACAGACACGAGGGTCCTGAGTTCACCACCCACCCACCCCCAGCACACACCGCAACAGACACGGGGGTCCTGAGTTCACCACCCACCCACCCCCAGCACACACCGCAACAGACACGGGGGTCCTGAGTTCACCACCCACCCACCCCCAGCACACACCGCAACAGACACGAGGGTTTTTAGTTTTAAAATGTCTTGCTCTTCCTATGCTCATTAAGTATTTTCACAGCGATTTTCATACTATCACAGGGGCTGACTCAACTGCTCTTTGATGTGCAAACAGCAAACACATTTCTTGGTTCACTGGAATTTCCGCCTTTTCCTGAGTGGAGATTTCCGAATGTAACGCACAGATTTATGTTGGTGAGAAACGCCTTATCCCCCTTTGTTGCCTCTCAGGGCATCATGTTCTCTGTTATTCTGATCAGTGTTTAAACTAGAATGGAATTTAGAATCTAGAAAACTTCTCATTAAATATTATCAATCACCGGCCGGGTGCACTGGCTTGCATTTTCTACCCCAAAAAATTATTTCACTTTGGCAACATGTGTAGGTATGAGCAATAAAATGTGCCTTGGAGAAATATTGCCAAAGTGCCTTTACGGTGATATAAAACCCTGTTATAATTCCAACCAGTAACAGTAAGTCACTAGTACTGTGGAGTGAAATTCAAGGACGCGCTACGTATCACAGTGTGGGTTGCTGAATAAAACAGAGTGCCTTCGAGTGCTTCCAAACTGCCTGAAACTCCAGACCGAGCAACGTCTTTCCCACCCACCAGCTGTAGCTCCCTGAGTGCTTTTCCTGGAAACGTTAATATGTGGGGACTCACACTGCTGAGGCCTTGAGAAAGTGATCCTTAACAGGGTGCAGTTGTATTGAACTGTCCACTCTGCTATTAAACCAATCACAAGGAATTATAAAGCAATGATTATAGGGGAAAATACCAGCTTTCTGATTCTTCTCATCAAATGAAACAGCAGTAGTGTTCCTGGGGTTCGGTGGTTCTGCGTTTGGGATGAGCAAGCGGAGATTCTCTCAGTCTTTTATATGCGGGTGATGTTTGTTCACAAATGAATGAAGAACTCGTGGTAAGTTAACATTTCCTTTTTTTTTTTTTTTTTTGGTAAAGAAGAAGCCACATCCGCCCTTCTCATAGTCTTGGTGTTACCTGGAAAATGAGATAACCCGGATTTCACTAAACCCAATGAGAAGCTGATTCTGCCAATCCAATTCCGCCGATTGCCCGGCAACGTGATTTCTTGTCTCCATCATTATTTTACACTGCACGTCTAAATAAAACAGCTTGTCTTCTCCTTCCTCCCCAGTGGCAAGAAGCTTCCCTCCCCGGGTGTCCAGGCCCTGTCTTGCATGGTGGGTGCGTGGCTCGGCTGTGCCTCTGCATACGTGGAGACCGTCCAGGCCCAGGAGCAGTGGCTGCCCAGCCTGCAAGTTCCTTTCAGAAGCAAAGGCACGTGAGCGCTCATGCATGCCCAGGCCGGCACAACTGGGTGTCTGGGAGCCACACAGTGACGGCGCTGACAGGCCAGGCCAGTGCCCCAGTCCAGGCTGTCTTCACAGGGCCCTGCCCCTGACCACTCAGGACGGCTGGAGGCTGCTCCCACCAGGCGACCCCCTATCTCCTCTGGGTGACAACACTCCCCTCTCGGCTTCTCCAAAGGTCAAGCCAGATAACCCGGGGCCCCGCTGAGGCCTTATCTGCACCCTCCCCCTCCTGTCCCCTGAGGAGGGACAGAGCGCAGAGGGGCCTCCTCAGGGAGCCGGTGCTGGGGGGGAAGCATGAGCCTCAGGCCCTCAGTCCTCAGTGGGAGTCGGCCCAGGGCCTGCAGAATCCTCACCTCGGGGGTCACCAGGCCCCACGTCCTTGCCTCTCCCTGCGTCCTTGCCTCCAGTTCCCGTCCACACAAAGTCGTGTCACTAATTCATGAGGCACCGAATGAGGAAGCAGGTGGAGGCGGCTTTCCTGGAAATGGGGATCTCAGATGCCGTGGGGCGATGTCCCCCCACAGCGGGGCCCGTTTGCCTCCAGCTTCCCACACGCCTGTGTGTCCGGCTGGCCTCCTTCCTCCCGGCTCGGCCGGCCTCGGGTTGCCTTGCGGCCACACTAGCCTATGTCTGCCCGTCTTTTTGTAGGTGACTTCTTCCTGGGTGTCTGTGACCACACTCCCCTCGTGTGAGGACACTGGTCTTATTGGATTTAAGGCCCCAGCAGTCCCAATGGGTAGGGCCTCACCTTACCTTGATTACATGGGAAACAGCCACGTTGCCAAGTGAGGCCACAATACAGGTCCTAGGTGGATGTAAATTCTGGGGACACTATCAACCCAGAGCAGGTGCCGACACACTCGTCCCAAGGCCTGGCGAGCCTCTGATGCCCTCAACTCAATCCGTCTTCAGGTCTTGGGGCTCTGGTCTCTGCCCCCGTCCTGAAGGCCTCAGCAGGGCTGGGGTGAACATGGGGCCGGGACTCTGCCACAGAGCGACAGTGTCTGCTAGACGTGGGGCGCCCCTGGCACTCCCTCGTGCCATGCCTCACCCAGGACCGTCTGGGCCATGTTCAGTCCCTGAGCAGCAGGAGTTGGCACCAGGGCCTGGGTCTGTGGTGTCAGGGCCCCGCCAGGCGGTGAGGAGCCATCTTCCCCGCAGAGGAGGCAGCTCCAGCTCCCCGGGGCTTCACGTGGGACGCTGCAGGGGGCAGGGCTCAGGGAGCCGCCACCAGCACAGCCGGAGCCGCCACCAGCACAGCCATCTGGGCGGAGCAGCCGTTCCCTCCAGCAATGCGCAGGAAGATGGAGGGTTAATGCCCGCAGACCGCAGCTCTTTCGGGGCTCCAAGTTGCGTGTGACCCAGACTCGGGAGCACAGCAGGGAAATCAGGAGCCGGTCTTGTCTCGACATTAGAGAGAGTGAGGAAGATCATGGATTAATTAAATAAAAGACTAAGCAGGACAAACCTTTGAACAGGAGGCATAACATTTAAGAATAAAACCAGCGCGGAGGGGTAAAGGTCGGAGAAGATCAAGTAAGGCGCTAATAGTTGCGCTTTTTCCATTTTCCTATCGATCAATATTACATTTTTTCAAGCTAAAATGCAGCCGCAGAGTTATTGCTGACCTTTTCCTCACCCTTCCATTGTGTATAAAATCACAGCAAAATAACAAACGACTTTATAAGCCACAGAATTTTTCTGATCCAAACCCCTCAGGTGAGCTAAGATCTCCCTCAAAATCTCTTTCTTTTGGAAATAGGAGGAATGGGCTTCTCTCTGCTAATTTGCTGCTGGAGAACACTTGCCTTTAAAATAAATCACCATTTAAAAACTGGTTTCATCATCTCCACCAGCCGCGCCCAGAGGATGGTCGTGCCATCCTTTCTGAGTGTTGACTGCGTGGTTATAGAAGGCAGAGTCTGATCTCACACAAATGTAGACATCGTACCGACGATCAATGCTTTCGGAAGCAGGGTTATGAGTCCACGCTTGGTCAATCACAGTTGATCAGATCATGCTTCTTCTGTCGGAGAAATTATTTAGGTCACTGTCCAAAATACTTCTTATGAGCTGGAGAGGAAAAGTCTCACGCAGAGGGGAAAATCCACACAAAACCCGTCATCAGGGCCGCGTCCTGGGCCGGGCTTCAGGGGAGAGACTGACTCACAGGCCAGACACACGACCATCTGCTCATTTCCACGGAAGCTGAGCTTGCTGGCTGTGGTCATCAGGGAGTCTCGGTGGAAACTGCACCGGGGCATCCACATCACGTGATCCCAGGAGAACAGAAGAGGGAATTCTGGTTTAAGATCCAAACAAGTGGCCGGGCACAGTGGCTCATGCCTGTAATCCCAGCACTTTGGGAGGCTGAGGCTGGCGGATCACCTGAGGTTGGGAGTTCGAGATCAGCCTGACCAACACAGAGAGACCCTGTCTCTACTAAAGATACAAAAAAATTAGCCATGCGCGGTGGCAGGCACCTGTAATCCCAGCTACCTGGGAGACTGAGGCAGGAGAATTGCTTGAACCCGAGAGGCAGACGTTGCGGTGAGCTGAGATTGCGCCCCTGTACTCCAGCCTGGGCAACAAGAGCAAAACTCCGGCTCAAAGGAAGAAAAGAAAAGAAAAGATTTAGATTTTAAGTTTTTTAGTCATTGACCTAATCTGGAAACTATCCCTGTTACAGGACAGACTCGAGTGACTGGATTAGCGAGTTCATAGTTCACGGTGCCTTTGTGAATTGTACGGCACTTGCCACAGCAGGCTTTTGGTGAGGGCTCAGTATGGTTCTCATGTGAGCAGCAAATGAACTTAATTCCCACACTAGAACTGTGGTCCATTAACACAAAGGCTCTCTTATTCTGAAGTTAGTATAATATTTTCAAGATGGCAGGTTAATTTTTTTAATACTGTACTCATTTGGTTCTGCTTAAAACTAATGAGGAGTTCCAGTAATTATTTATCTTAAATAATTTAAATATATATATATATATACATGCAGGCATAGCTTGCCAAGTAGATGTGGCTGTTAATTAGAATTTATATTTGCACTTCAGGACTCAGGACTGGGTTAAAAGGTACATTTTGCTAATTACAGTGGGTTCCAGGTGTTTGCTGCAGAGAATCCTGAGCGTGGCTGGATCGTCCTGTGGCAGTGTGAGTGACGGCACAGCATACCCACAGGTTCACCCCCAGCAGCAAGGGGACCTGCCCAGCTCTGGAGGGTTGACGGAGAACTGAAGCAGGAACGGGGCTGGGTCCGGCCACAGCCCCTAGTTCAGTCCAGGTGGGACCCTCCCGAGGTTGTGAGGAGGGAGAGTGGGGGCTGGGAGACAAAGGGCAGGTGGATGTTAGTGAATGCTGAGTCTTGGGGCAGGGTTGGGGAGGTCTGGAGCCACCTGGATCCTGAGATAACACAGGGGTTCTCCCCTTACCCACAAGCCTCCTCTTTCCTGAAAGGTCCCAGAGACAGCCTCCAGGAAAAGCCCGGCCAGGAGCGGGGACTGGGACCCTGGGCATCTGCATGCCAGTGTGGGGGCAGCTGATTCTCCAGGCTCCTGTGGGTGAATCTGAAGAGAAGAGCCCCTTCCCTCCAGGGCTCAGAGCCCTGCAGGCCCCACCAGAACCCTGAGCAGGGAGCAAACTGCACCACTACACGCTGGCCCTAGTGAGCCTCTCCCCTCCCAGTGGGAAGACTCACCCCTGCAAGCCCAGGCAGCCGGAGGCAGAGGCCGCCAGGCCCGGGTGGTGGGGGGCCGAGGTCGCCAGGCCTAAGCGGTGGGGGACGGAGGTCACCAGGCCAGGGCAGTGGGGAAGGGAGGTCACCAGGCCCAGGCAGTGGAGGACGGAGGTCACCAGGCCCAGGAAGTTGTGAGGGAGTGGAGGGTCACTAGGTTCGGGCAGTAGGAAACCGAGGTCACCAGGCCCGGGCAGTGGCGGCGCAGAGGTCACTAGGTCGAGGCAGTGGGAGATGGAAGACACCAGGCACAGGCAGTTGGCGGGGGCGGGGGGAGAGAGGTCACCAGTATAGGCAGTTGGCAGAGGTCACCAGTATAGGCAGTGGAGGTGGAGGTCACCAGCATAGGCAGTGGAGGTGGAGGTCACCTGGTCCAGGCAGTGGGGGATGTAGGTGACCAGTACTGGCAGTGGGGAACGGAGGTCACCAGGCCCAGGCAGTGGGGAATGGAGGTCACCAGGCCCAGGCAGTGGGGGACGGAGGTCACCAGCACAGGCAGTGGGGGATGGAGGTCACCAGCACAGGCAGTGGGGGATGGAGGTCACCAGGCCCAGGCAGTGGGGGACGGAGGTCACCAGCACTGGCAGTGGGGAACGGAAGTCACCAGGCCCAGGCAGTGGAGGACGGAGGTCACCAGCACAGGCCAACGGGCTCCTCGAGCAGAGCCAGACGTGGCCCTTGTAAAGACCTCACTTCAGGTGCTAGGGGGGCATTTCCTCACTTGTACCAGCTCCTTGAATGCCTTCCACTGCAGCTGCGTTGTTCTGTGCAGAATCACAGCCAGGCAGAGCCTCGGGCAGCCTGAGAAGGTCCCCTTAAGCTCCAGGAGAAGCTGTCCTGAGGGTCCTGGATCATCGCTATTTATTACAGACACGGCTACAATCAACTGAACAGCCAAGCTCGATTCTGGGTCCCCTGTGGCACGAAACACTATTAAGTCTCACCCAACACAGGTGTCAGTGCCCCGTGTCTGGGGTCCACAGAGAGGAAGGAACACCCAGTCCTGCCCTGGAGGCACCCACCAAGAAACAAGACCCCCTCCTGAGAACCACACGGGCAGGGACAGGGAGGCCTCCACCAGGAAGCCCTGCCCAGCTGCAGCCGGGTTCGGGAGATGGCTGGAGAGGGACATGAGGACACGGCGTCCCGCTGACAGGACAGAGCAGAGGGAGAGGAGAGGAGAGGAAGACCAACCCAATGGGGACCCACGGAAAGGCCCCAGGGGACAGAGACAGGCTGCGGACAGGGGCCTGGCCCCGGGACACAGAACAGCTGTGCTGTGAGAACAGCCCAGAAACAGTGTCCGCAAGTGTCCCCGACAACACGCAGTCAGCCCGCGGACAGCGAGGGCCCCAGCACAGGCAGCTCCCGAGTAGACTCGCAACCAGAGCCGAGTGCCTTGGAGGCCTTGAGACTGTCATCATCACCTGCTGTCTCCAGGAAAGAATGCAAAACCCTAAAATAGGAAATGTGGGGCCAGCAGAGGAGGGGCCTGCACGCAGTCATTGAAAGTGGGGGCTGTTGCCCGCCGCCTCTTCTTAGGGTAAGAACAGGGAGTCATCAGGCCTCTGTCTGTGGAACAGCAGCTCCATTCGACAGTCATCAAAGGTAACAGACAAATTAGCATTATTAGTACAAAGTATAGGGTTCAGCAAAACTAACAACACACTGAAAGATGAAAAATGATGACTCGTGCGTGTGGCTTTTCTTTTTAATGACACAAGGCTCATCTCTTGGCGGAGTTTGCTATCTTCTTCAAACTTTGCAGCCAATCTCACCCACGGATTGAAGAAGACAACTTGTAAATAAGAGGAGAAAACTTAAGTAAAGCATGTATTTTTCTCTTCGGTTAAAATTTAAAAAAAGTAAATGCTGGAAATGGAAATTATGACGAGAAATATGCAAGAAAATAAGCCATGATTTATCTGGCACAGCACGTTGTTTTTACATAAAATTGGGATTTTGTTGATAAGCATTTTTATTGAAGCCAAAAAGACTTCTCCTTCAGTAATTTTTTTAATCCTAACATCTGGATAGAAATTAATTGTTCCATTTACAAAGTAAATGAATCTGGGAAGAATAATGTTTACCAATAAAATGTGCCTCAAAAATTAAAGATCTGGAACATCAGAATTTTTCTTCCTGTAAACCACAAAAAAGAATTTTTCGTATGGAAGAAAACCGTGAGATTTATGGCGCTCCGGAGCGTTTGTGAGCAAATCTCCCGGGGAAGCCCATGGTGGCATCTCTAGACTCAGGTGAGGGTAATGTGTCTGCAGAGTGAGCCTCAGCATTGCCAAAGTCAGGACACCGTCATCGCAGCACAGAGGGGTCACTGACGCACAACGGGGCTCGCGCTGTGCCCGCAGCAGCTTTCTTCAAAATTACCCAGACATTAGAGCAATGCTCGCCCCTCAACGTGGGCTCCAAGAACATGGGAAGTCGGCCTGCCTGCCACAAAGCCGCCATGTCCTTCCATCTGGGTGTGAATAAAGCACCCGCAAATACCTCCTTAGTTGAAAATGAAAAAAAATTATACAAAAAAGTCATTCGAGTACATTTCTGTATTTTATTGTTAGATGCAACATTCGCCTTGGTTTATATAAATGGTGAGATTTCCCGATGTAAAGTTTTCATCGTGATTTTCTGGGGGCCTGTCACGAAGATGGAGATTACGTGACACCGCGTCTGAGCCCCGTCAGCTGCCGCCACGCCTGTCTTCCGGCAAACTGACCTGCCTCTCGTCTCTGTCTCTCTCCTTCAGCTCGAAGGCCCTCACCGGTCGCCCTTTGTCTGGGGAAGGACGGATGAGGCCCCGGGGGGCAGACTCTCTCATTTCCCTTCCATTTACCTCGTAATCGTGTCTATGAATAATCTCCCACACTGGAAAAGAGGCTGCTTGTGACTTGTTCAGAATCTCAGTCTGCCAATTTCTCCATCCACATTTCATCCAAGGGGTCTAATCGCTCCCAACCCTCCGGAACCTGTGGGATCCTCACTGTTCTGCGCCCCAGGCTCCATCTCTGCCCCGAGGGTTCGGGGCCGTGGTTGAGTTCTCCTGTGGGCACCCCCAGCCCGGGACGGAGCCACGATCCATTTACGAGCCAAGGCTGTGCCATGCCTTGCTGATTTATTTTCCTCTTTCAATAACATCATAGCATGTGAGAAAACACCTCACTCGCCCTCATTTTTAAAGATATAATGAAATCTCATTTTTAATTACCTGAACAAAAAGGTTTCAACTCCATCAGATCGCCTCTCAGGGCCTGCAGAGGTATTAACAGGCTCCAGAACCAATTACCTGCATTTCCTTTTTACTTATTGCAAATGTGACCTTTTGTGAGAATTTGATTGTGAGCCTCCCGCTGTGAGAGGGTAACCACGGGCGGGGGCAGCGTCTGAGGCCCGTCTCCCCTCACGTCCGCACTGCTGTTAATTTTAATCCCCTCTGATGGCTGCAGGACAAGCAGGTGTCTGAGACCCAGTGCAGAGCGGGCGGCGGAGGTGCCGGCTCAGGAATGAGAGGAACCGGGCTGTGTGGTCCTTCCAGACACAAACCCAAGCCCACGACTTGAAGGGAGGAGCACCTGCTCTGATCTTCAGCAGGAAAAGAAAACGCCGTTCTGCGTGTGGTTTCAGAATCA